TTTACACCACCAAGAATTAGTACTATTATAGTTCGCAACAGTCGTATCAACCCAAGCAAAAAGTCCGACTAGAAAAATGGAACAGTGAATAACTATGATCCTCAAAAGGACAGTTCTCTATAATATACTATTCTAAACTACAACTACCGAAAAACAAAAGCAATTTTTTACCTATGACCAATTCTAACGCATGAACGTAGCTTTGCAGTAACCTGCTACAACTAAATCCACTGCTCTCTGAACCCACAGTAACACAACTATAAAACTTCGTAGATTGAGTGTTTTATCTGGCTAGATTAAATAAAATTGTTCAATGTTTTCGAACTTCAACAGTCGTAGTTCGACCAATGACGTCTAACAGTTCGTGTTTCATACAATAACATATGAAAATAAAGGATGATGAAAGTATAACATGCTATAATCTTTTCCAGTTTTATGTGAGGAAAAAAGCATCCTTAAACCTTTTCTACTTAGTTCAATCTTTCTTTATGACCATTTCCTTGATGGTACAATATCATCAAAATCTAAATTCCACAAACAGCGTCGCAGAATGATTCTTTGAAAGTTGAGATTAATCTAACTCTTCACCTACAGCGTTTAGGAACGAACGCCATCGTGATCAGCACACCGAGCTCTACAAACTGATGTATATCCTATTGAAAACGGAGACTAACACTTGGGGACCTTCCCTCGTTAGTGAGTATTTTCTAATACACCAAATCTTTGTAAATAAAAATGGTCGAAAATGTATGATTGGTTTCTCTAGAGAACGTACCTGATGCAAGTACTTGTCAATGATCTTAATACTTGCCTTATTGCTAAGAAGTATTTTCTGAAAGTATTTGGCAAGTAATGACAAGTACTCACAAGTAAATTTACTTGTGGAAAAAAGGCAAGTACCGGCTTTATTACGCAGACGACGTACTTAGTCCACGTTCTCTAGGGTTATGTTTTTTAATTTCTTGAAACAAAGCATTTACCGTTCTTTATCGGTACAAATAAGACATAATGATGTACTACATATAATCTCGTTGTACAACATTTGCTTGCTCAACTGACATGACACATGGAAAAAAATTAATTGACTTAACTGAACGAGAAACGTATCCTTTTAATGGTAGTTTTATCATTTGTAAAGTAAATTTATTTTATCTTAATGTGTGTTTAAATGGCATTATTCTTAGTACGGCAAGACAAAAGAACGTACCGTGTATCTTTGAGACACAATAGTAATGTCATCGTCAATCGACTACTGCAGAATGCATTGTAAAATAGTGATCGAAGATGATTTTAAATACAAGTGACTAAGACTAAAGTAGACATACTTCAAATGTTGCTAAGTATCGAAATGAAAGATCCAATTTGAAAATTCTGTTTTATGAAGCGCTAATATTTTAAGCTAAAGACAGTGAAATCTTAAAATTTAAGAGTTTCATTTTATGATCTGAATTCTAATGTCAAATTTCGGTGCTTTATTTGAATCAGATACACTTCGTCGTTTATCGACACGCCTTATTCTAATAACATCGGCATCATTATTAACATCAACGGTGACGTGTACAACTCAAAATATATTTGTGTTAACTTATATGTGTGGAGTTATAGCCATGGCCATTGAAGGTGGTGTAGCATTGTATTATCAATTTCGTGGTGAATGGAGGGAATTTCGCTGGTTTTCACCTTCCATTCTCGTCTTCATTGTCACTACAACACCAACATTGTCTATTTTAAAATCACATCAACTTCATTTGTACACGCAAATTGAATATATGGGAATAAACACATTTATTAAAAAGAATTTTTCAGAGTGTTTTGAATATGTAAAAGGTAGGTGAGAGAAAGTTGTTTTAGAGATAAGAAGCGACAATGAATTGCTAAAATCCAATGAAACAATTGACAGAGAATTTGTCACCACATCAAGAAACGTCATACGATGATAAAATTAAATTTTTCTTGATACCGTTTTCATCGTGACGGGCATACAACATTAGGCATGCTACATTCTCTTTTCGTCTTGAAACCTTAGCATCGATGAGAAAACAGTCCCACGGTTGATATTTGAAGTTTTTGAAAAACACAACATTTCCAGTACTTTAGCTACTGTAGTATCAATTTTTAACCAATTCTTCCGGGCAACATCTCATTTGAAAGAGCGCAGATATTTGGATACTGACATGCGTTTTCTTATTCTTCGAACTTAAAACTTCATTTGGAAAAATATTTTCAGTTCTTAACAGTTTCCAAATTTTAAAAAGGCAAATTTTCAATATGAAGTAATTTTTCCATCAGAGAATATTTGCAAACCAAACAAAGTTTATATTTGTATTCAGCACAAAAGGCTCAGTTAAATGCAGTAGTTTTCACTTAAGCTTTGGAACTTTTTTTTCGGCCAAACGGCCAGCCTGATGAAGTCCAGAGAAAAAAAATTTTCTTCTATTTTGGGAATTAAGTGAGATATTTTATTTGAGATTGGATTTATTTGCAACTGCTGGTCATAAACTATGGGCGTCCACTGTTTAAATATAAAGTTGAAGAAAATAAAATTCTCTATTTTAAGCCTTTGATCTCTCTCTGGCCCAAAGTCTGACCGAAAAAACGTTTCGGGATTAAAGTGAAAATTAAAGAGAAATATTTTTTGTTTTCGGATGAAGTTGAACTTTTTTTAGCTAATATAATAGATGGTGTTTTCTTGGTAGTTATCTTTTCTTAACTTATTTTTGCTATGGATAAAAAGACAAATACTAAAATGTAATTGATGTTGATAATTTACTGTTATCTGTTATTCAGAAATCGATTCAAGAGTGAATAAGCGTGCCAAGAGACATAAATGTTTTACTAATAACACTTTCGAATCATTGGTACTTGCTTATGTTTTCATCATGTAATGAATTCACACTGAGATACATGTTGATTAATCATGTATGCCAGAGTTGGAACCGGGCCGGCAGACCGGCCGGTCTCCACCGATCTTTTGCCGGTCTAGAAATATTTTCAAACCGGCCGGTGATCGACCGGTTTTAAATTCTTAGCATTTTTCTCTTCTTCGTTCAAGAAAACTGACATGTTCTTCAATGCAGAAAAGTGATAACTTCAAATAAACAAGTAACAGAAATATGAAAAAGCTAGTGAAAATGACTTTTTCATTAAAAATATTTTGATTTACTGATAAAAGCGTCTAAACCGCCCAGTTTTTTGCCGGTTTTTCACCGTTCTCGAAATTTGTTGAAAACCGGCCGGTCTTTTTGCCGTTTTTCACCGGTCTAAAAAGATTTTTGGGCCGGCCGGTCACCGGTCGGTCCGGTCTGCTGTTTTGAACCGGCCGGTCCGGCCCGGCCTCTTATTTTTAGACCGGTTCCAACTCTGATGTATGCCTCGTTTTTCTACACAGATATACAGATAATTAAATTACTTTTATATTATACAAACTAATAAAACCAGGAAAATAAACTGAAAGACTACTCACTCTCGGCTTATTAAGAAATGCTTTGGTTGTTTTTCAGAGTTTCTGAAAAATTGGTTTTCCAGGAAACCGGGTATTCTCAGCAATGTGACAAAACTGAGAATGCCATTAGAACCAGCACGGTCTAAAATTCTATAGCTTAAATTCTATAACTTTGCAAAGAAAGGTCGTGTAGAGCTAGGAGATGTCTCATTTTAATCAGAACTTCACGGGTTATTACTATGCCTTATTAAGAAAGGTTTTGGTTATTTTTAGAGTTTCTCAGAAACTGGTTTTCCAGAAAAGCGACCCTTGGCAGGTCTTTAAGTCCGTCTCATATTGATATTCGGAATCAGCATGGTCGGTTACCTATAGTCCGCTTGGTCTCAATAAAAAACGATCGGACAGTTGCAAATGTTCCGGCGTTAGATGGATTGCTAAAGTTCATTAGACTTTCTCAAGTCAATTAAAGTCTGTACGGCAACAAAAGTTGACATGAGCTCATCCTGAAACATTTAGAAAGTTATGCGTATTTTGATGGACTCTAAAGTCCATAACTGCAAATTAAGACTGTCTTTTGCTCCTTGTCTATATTCCCTTATTCGTGTTTCTTAGTCTCTTGGATATATTAAATAATTATTACCATGTGTGAATTGTTTAGATACAAATAATCCGGCATCTAATGATATAGGAAAGAATAATGTTAAGACTCATTTGAGTGATGAACGAGCTCCGCAATATTTCTATCGATGTGGAAACGACAGTGTGGCACATGCAAGATATTTTCAAGATCCAGAACATTTTCGTGTCATTTGTGAAATGTTAATGAGAGTTCAATATCGTGAATGTGACAGAGAGGAAAGGGGATGTAACGTATTATGGCTATCGTTTTATCCTGTTTTTTAATACAGATGTTGTAAGCCATCTTTACATTTTGCTTCTAGCTATAAAACACTGTAGTATTGAATACGACAGTTATAAACAACATTCGTGGTTAGAACGTTGTAAACATACAAGAAATTTTATGAATCATTTAACCATTGTTGGTGTTACAGGAGACGAATTAGCCGGTTTCATGTTAATAGAACAAGTTTTACTTATTGTACTGGTTATTGTCAATTGGATTTGGCCGCAAACTCAGAGCGCGCACGAAGTACATTTTGCACAAATGTTATGTCAATATTTAGCAGCAGCACCCGATATTGCCGAGTTCTACGGTAATTTTTATCAGGGAGGTAATATGGACGCCATTCAAGATGCCGCAGTGTTGGAGAGCGCTATTTTTATTGCATTCGTTCTCAGTTGTACTCAGTTTCTCTTTAATATTCAAATGAGAATGGATCCAACGCCAGTCTTACACGCAAAATCCTGGGACACATTAACATTTGATCAAAAACTGTTGACTGGATTTGAACTTGCTTTTTGTACTTCACTGTGGTCTGCCATCTATTTAGCAGCAACTCAAGATTTGCCTTTTTTTGTTATAAGATTATATTTTTGCTTATCAAAAGCAGATAAATCGAAAAAGATGGTCTTTTTTATGATGAAAAATGCAATGACATTGACGATAAGTTTACATGCAGCCATTATCGAAGTGAAAAATTTCAAACAAGAACAAATTGAAAAAGAAGAAAAGAGAAAACTAGCTAAGAGAAAGAGTAAACGGAGAACAGCATAATCAATCATTTCTTTGACAAAGCTTGTACTGTTTGTGTAATGGTTTTTACTTCATTTTGATTAATTAACAACCAATTTTTTTCGAATAACCATGTACATAATTAAAAGAAGCTCTTCGACCTTTCTATGCTAATGAAAATATAATACGAAATAAGAATGCAATTGTACTGCGCACAAGCTGCGATATCAACAGACCCTGGTCGCATTAACAGAGACGGAGAAACCATCAAAAAATTGAAATTAAAAATCTCTACTCAACATTTAAATGTCTTTCTGTTTTATTTATAAGGAGCAAAGAATTAAATAATTATATTTCATCTTAAGAACAAATTCTACCGTTCGTGTAAGAAGCTAAATATTTTGCATACCCGTAAGGATCTAAGAGAGATTAAATATCAATACTTCTTTCCATGCTCGTAGCAATCCTTCATTATACCGATTAATCCATCGAGCATTTGGTGCACGTTTATATAACACAATAGGTCTTTTATGAACAGCTCGTAATACTAATAAATAGTCGTCATAAGGCATCTCATTTTCTTCTAATAGTCGATCAAAATCAGCCCATGTTAATTCTCTTTTATCTTCAAGTTCATTCATTGCAGCATTAATTATTCTTAATTTTTCTTTTAAAATGTCTTCACATGAAAGAGTCTCAGGACGATGATTACGACAGCCATAAACGACCGTATACTACAGTTTACAGTGAATGATACTGCAGTTTACGACGATGGATATTGTAGTATACATCAAAATACGACATTGTTTACGACGAGATACGATGACGTCCACCGGGGAGAAGGATTACTACGTCGTATTTTGTCTGGAATGGATGCGACCGTTTATGATGGAATACGTCAAAATACGACGTCGTATACGATGTCGTAAAACGTCATATACGGTCGTTTTTCGTCGTATACTGCTAATTTAAATTGCTAATCCAGTCACCGTTTTGTTATCTACGATTGATTCCACTATGTTTTACCCAGACTTTTCTGCTAGAACATAGTGCAATCAAATTTTAATGCGTTAGTCGAGCAAACAATGCTTTTGTCATGTTATAATCTCTATCTGAAAAGGAAAAATAATTATGAATTAGAGAGTCAGGTAGTAAATTCGGAATATGTACACAGCAAATTCAGCTCTCTATTCCCTTATCTAACTAGGTCTCATTTTCCCTAGTTACAGTGTTACACTATCGGATTTTTGGACAAGTCTTCTTTTGAGACACATCTCTTTCGCAGATTAACTAAGTCCACATATGTCATAAAAAAGAATGAAAAACAACTTTTGATACTCACAATTATTATAGCATCAACCTTTCATGCTTTTCTCACTTCTGTGCAGTTTTATTTTGAGATCTTTACACAGCAAACATTAACTGAGTCTATACACTGAGAAAACCAACGTTTTTTTCTCATTTTAAACGAGACTAAAAACAGTGTCTATTATATAAGGCACTTTACTAAACTAGTGAAAATGAGACCTATTTAGATAAGGGAACAGAGAGCTGAGTTTACTGTATACGTACTTCGAATTTACTACCCTGCTCTCTAATTCATGCTGATTTTTCCTTTTCAGATAGAGATTATAAAACAGACAAAAGCATTGTCTGTTCGACGAACGCATTAAAATTTGATTGCACTATGTTCTCGAAGAAACGTCCGAGTAAAACATAAAGGAATCAGTCGTAGATAACAAAACGGTGACTGGAAAAATGTGGAACTAGTGCGTACCGGTGCAAGATAGCATGCGCACAGGTAGTGCCGCCGTTTTTCAGCCCTGTACTGCATTTTGAAAATATATTTTCAGATCAAATCTGCTACGATAACGTAAAGGATGAAAATACGCCAGGGTTACTACAGTTTACGACGGTCGTATACTTTGTCACGTTCTGATTTTTTTTTGAAAAATTTGACTTGTCGTAAACGATCGTATACGACTGACGTAGCTGCATCGTAATTCATCGTTTACATATCGTCGTATCTGTCAATGTTTACGACTGATGTATTTTATCGTAATTTAACGTATATTGTAGTATACGGTCGTGAGTCCTTGACCTGGGGTGACAAAAAATGTAGGTGTGTTTAACTGTCTTATGTAGCCAAAAAGATCTTTCATGGCATGTTACCAATACTGCGGACTTACTCTTACATACTGTAAACGTCTAAACACCATATCATTTCTCATCAAGTGTCTCAAAGTTTCATCATCTCTGACTTGTCCAACAATTATACGATCTTTGTCGGAAATTGTTTTCTTAAGGCAACAGATACACTTGAGTGCGCTTTTTTTAATTCGTTAAGATATTCAAGAAAAAAGACATACACAGCATCCTCTGCGAAACGTGGATCAGCACTGAAAAGACGTTTATTACAATATAAAGAAAAAGATAGGCTTTTCACACGCGGATTGTTAAATGTATCTTTACCATCTGGAAAGATATGAGAAAATGCTAAAGCCTCAATAGTAAGATCTTTCAATACAGACAAAGGTTTATTCTGTTCTACTGACGCTAGACTAACTATTTTTTGATGTAAAACATGATTTTCTAAATCTGTAGATTGTAAACATGAATGTGTACTAAAATTAAATTTACTTCGAGGATCTTCTGTATCTTCTACTCCTATTTCACTATCTGAATCACTATTACTTTCTAAAGCTCCTGCTTGACCATCAACACCATTTTCTTGAACACTATCATCATCGTTTCTTTCAACAATACTATAATCATTGTTATTATATACTTGCATTGCTTCATCAACAACATCATTGCCTTCAAGTTCAGGACTATCATCTACTGTTTCACGCTCACCGTTATCAGCACTAGCTTGCTTATTCATGCTGGATGATTTACAAGGTAATTATCATCAATTTCATTAATTTCTATATCTTTGTAATTCTCATTTATAATCTTAAACCATTTCTAAAGCTACTGTAGTATGCGTTGGAGTAATAAATGTTTTTTTCTATATAGCCTTGTACTGAATTCTTCTTTTTAACTCAAACCGAATTATCATTGATTTATCAACTGGATGAGGAAGAGCTGTTACTGTTTCGTGAACATTAGCTGGAACACAATGAAGTGGACTATGAGCACCACGTTTCTTCTAAGCTAATAGATCAACGATATACATGAAAGGAATTACCAGGGCAGCTAACAGTTTCTCAAGATAATTAACGTGCCGGTAATTCAAAAGAAGAGAGGTGGGCTCTGAGAGGTTGCCTGCGCCCATCTCTCAGTAGTTCCAGCAGTCGTTTGTATTCTTATAAACAACTGCATATATTGTTAATACTCTGTTATTGTGAAATGTTTAGTCTATATAATAGAATAAACGAAAATCTTTTTGGAACATTTTTAAGTTTTATTTTGCTAAATACTGATTACAACATAAAATAAAGATACGAACAACACAAGAACAATGTGTGTGTCACTGACTGTGATTTCCAATTTCGATCGTGTTCGTTTTTGATGTTATACCAGTAGTCGGTAATCTATTACTGAATGATACGTGACGTATTCGTTGCCATATTTTCATTAATTCGTTACGGTATAACCTTGCACTCAAGATATAAACATAGAAGCTAGTGCAATAACTGAACCAAAGTGGAATACTTGTTATTTTAAACACAAATATAAATACAGGTGATGGTGATTGAATAATTGTCGATAAAAACCACATAATCATTGACATGATAACTAAGACAATATAGGATAATATTTGAAGCATTAACATTTGAAATAGTTGACCATCGGTTCGTCGTTTCGTCGATGATAACACATTTGCGATTGGCATAACTCGTTGACGGTTTTGTCTGATATTCCATATTGTTAATAAACCAAATATTGCCATAAGTAACGGAGGTCCAATACCATATAAAACTAATATATAACAAGTAAATATTTGATAGAATAATGCATTTTGTACTCCACAGACATTATTTAAAGGTCCAATATCATAAAAGATCAAAATAGGAATATACATAATTAGGAAGAAAACAAATGTTAGTGGTATAACACGACGAACAACGTATAAATCACTAAATTTACGGAGACGAATATGTTGTGAAGTAGAACAATAACGATCAAATGATGCCCAGACAATAAGATAAGGTGAACTTGTATAAAACACATATGAAAGATACCCTTTCACTTTGCACAGTATTATAGATAAATTTGATACATCCAGTGAATACCCACTGTCTAATAAAAAGGGTACAAAACAGAAACCGATAACAATTAAATTGTCAATTGATGATGCAAGAAAATACATAGAACATGAATTTTTCCTTAATAAACGACGAGTTAATATTAAAATGTTCATTAGGTTACCAAAAAAACCAATTATTATTTCTAGTGGAACTGCTATGCGAATGATTTGTGGATATATAAGACTTAATGGGTTAACAATTGTAGATGATGAATTCATCTGGGAAACGCTGCGTGGATGTGTTCTGTGTTTATTAAAAAAGATTTCTGCAACACTAACGTCTGTAGAAACTAGAGTGATAAAAAAGTTTCCTTTTCATTTTATTTATTAAGACTTTTGTTAAGACTCTTGTATTTTTGTGTCTTTGAAAGCAACTATTGTTTTTTCTCATTTGACTGATGACGTCTTTTGAATAAGGACAAAACGTCTCTAAAAGAATATAGTTTATTTCCATTACGCTAAAACGATAGCCATAATACGTACATCCTCTTTCCTCTCTGTCACATTCACGATATTGAACTCTCATTAACATTTCACAAATGACACGAAAATGTTCTGGATCTTGAAAATATCTTGCATGTGCCACACTGTCGTTTCCACATCGATAGAAATATTGCGGAGCTCGTTCATCACTCAAATGAGTCTTAACATTATTCTTTCCTATATCATTAGATGCCGGATTATTTGTATCTAAACAATTCACACATGGTAATAATTATTTAATATATCCAAGAGACTAAGAAACACGAATAAGGGAATATAGACAAGGAGGATGTTAGGCTCCATCTAACTTGTTCCAATCTTCACTTGTATGTACAAATGTTTTATTTAGAAAGCGGAGGCACTCCTCTAGTACACTATATGCTTGTGTATATAGGCGAGAAAGAAAGAAAGAAAATCGAAAAAAATTGATGGGTGATCACTTTGGACCTCCATTACTTATGGCAATATTTGGTTTATTAACAACTAGCGGAAGTACCCGATGTCGGTCTAGATAATTTGATAGTACATGTTTGACGTATGAGAAGGCGACTTCGCTATGGTCGTCTATGGATTACCAATCGGGGATATCGCACAATATGCTTGGATCTTTTCCTTCTCAACTTTTAGTTTTGGATATTTTGAGATTTTCATAAATATCTTTTTTCTTTTCAATTTTCTATATAAAACGATTTTTATTTAAGAGAAACTGTCCAATGTAAAACAATTTTTATTGCAAAGCTGCTTGATATACAATGTTGCCGGTTAGGAGCAAAAATATATAAATTTTTTCCAGTTCCGACTCTTGAACACGCCACTTAAAGTTGGCCATGGGAAAAGCAAGGAGTCTCTAGATTAATACCAGCAACCTTAAGTGATTGTCCTTGAGCCTTATTGTGGACATCACGAAGGCAAGACGTACTGGAAACTGAAGATGCTTGAACTCAAACGGCATATCAGTAGGAATCATGGGTACTCGTGGTATGAAGACGTCCTCACCCTTTGCGCAGCCTGTCAGGATGGTTGCTTCGATAACATAAGGCATCAGACTTTTTACATACAATCTTGTACCATTGCATAGTCTTGGAGCATCCAGGTTCCTCAGAAGCATAATGAGAGAACCAACTTTGAGTAGCAAGTTGTGTGTTTTTAACAAAATGACCTTAGAAATTTGCACTTAAGACTAATCAAAAAGATCGTAGTAATCTGTGAATCTTGTGATGTGTATATTGAATGTCAAACTTGATTGTGCGTGAGTAAGTTTATTAGTAGAATGGAGAAAAGATTAGAAACGCTATAGCGAATATAGTTCTGATACAGAATACAATACAGAAACACGCCTATATATATGTATAAAAGAATTTATTTTTATTTTTATTTGACGTCGTACACGTTGTGTCGACGTTAAAAACAAGATCGACACTTATGTATAGCATAGCTAGTAACATGTGAATGATCACGTGTGAAGACTATTTAAATATATACATAAGTGTACAGCCGTCATACGAATGTATAATCATAACTTGTATCTTCCTTTTGCACTATTTAGTGCAGAAGGAAAATGCAAAGTTGGAGAAATA